TATTTAGTCAAACATTTAATTAACTCACCCCTAAAACCCTCACAGGGCCAGACAAAATTATTTTGAGGACCTTATATAGCACACAGGCTGACCATTCCCCACCCCTGCCTTATAGCAATGTATTTCTTGACTCCAGAGAAGAACAGGTCTCCATATGCATTTGAGGCTCTTTCTTGACTGGCACAGTGAAGAGGTTCATCCTGACCCCTTACAAAGCGTACTTCTGCCCTGGCTGTAGAAAGGACAGTACATAGCCTGAGTATGGAGGCATGTGGGTGTTCAGAAACCAGATTGTTATCACTCCAGCAGCGTCACAGTTATTGGAGAGAGGTGCTTTTTAGCTTGGCATAAATTTGGTTTATATTACAAAGGATGCAGTGGATGAGTGAGGATCATTTAAGTTTCTTCTAGCCTAGTAAAAGCTTGGGTTGTCCTGCAAAATAGAAATGGAATAGAAAGTCTTTCTGGGTCTGTTCATTGAAAAGCATTTTTTTGCTACCAAAGAGCAGAGCTACTAAGCAGAACTGACATTCCAAATGAATGGTGGCAATAATAGCCCATGAAACAAAATGAGGTAAAAATCTCTATTTGGACTCTCTTCCCTGCCCCACCCGGCTTCTCTGATCTGATCACCAATCACCGGCCGGGGGGCGGGCAAAGGCAACCCTGGTTCTCTGATCACGGGCTGGGGGCAGGGCAAAGGCAGCCCCCAGGGCGGCCTTTTAGAACTGACATTCCAAATGAATGGTGGCAATAATAGCCCATGAAACAAAATGAGGTAAAAATCTCTATTTGGACTCTATTAATTTGGAATTTATTACAATATTGAGCCAGACTTGACATAGTCTACTTTAGAAGGGGGTTACTATAAAAAAATGCAATAAAATGGGACAAAATGTCATCATCCATAGATGGTTCCCATCAATTTAGTTTCTTTTTCAACTATCTTAAAATCGCCCTGATTAGCCAATGGGAAGCGTAGCGAAGGAAGGGTCAATTACCATGTTTGTCTATGATTAGATAGGATATAGATTTTTAGTAGTAGTATTTTCAGCAGAATTTAAGCTTCCTAAGGGCAGATACTTATCTATCTCATTCAGTGCTATATGCTTATTATAACATTTCATCAATCAATAATTTGTTAAATAAATGTATAAGCAAGCATCATAGTCAGTTTGTTACTACAAATACTTATCAAGATTAAATTTTGGGAAGATTAATTTGGAAGTGCTTTGTGGGAAGGATTAGAGTGAGAAAAGGAAAAGGCCTGTTTAGCAAGGACACCATTATAATCACCTAGAGAAAAATAATGCATGGTTGTTGTGAGAGTGGATAAAACAAAAGGAAGATTTTCAGAAGATGTATGATGCATGAAAGAAATGCCATAATTCAGCAACTGATAATAAGCCAATGCAAATTAAGAATTTGATAATGCTTAAGGTTGTGAACCTTAGCACTAAGAAATACATTGGTCTCAATTCACCAAGATGAGGATGTCAGGAGAAAGAGATGATTTGAAAATAAAGTGAGCAAGTCAAATCTAGATATGTGCATGCATATATACTTATTGTTTTCTATTCTAGGGAATGTGCAAAGGACTTCATATTTATTTTCACATTAAATCTGTCTCAATGGTCATATGAGATGTATGTAATAATTACTCATTCTTTATGCAATGAAGAGATTGAGTCATACAGTGATTAGGTAACATGTCCAGAAAAAAAGCAGATAGGATGTGGCCAAAGTCATATTTGCACATAGACTATCTGACCCCAGAGATTCTAACCATAAGGCTCCACTGCATAGTTGGAGTATGAGATGTTACTGGGGCATATAGGAGGGAAAGAGATATAAGTTGTCCAATTAGCTCATGTTAGGGCTTTGTCATTTCACCACTAAAATAGTCCTATCGTGAATGATTTTTTTTTAAAGAAATCCCTTTCATATTATTTCTGGAAGTGGTTACACAATAGATTACTTTGCCTGATAATACCATATTTATTAGTTCAATCACAAATATTTTCTTAATTCTAAGCAAAGGTTGGCAGAAACAGGGTTCAGTTAAGTCCTGGATGGGTGTGGTACAGACTCCAATGGATAAAAGGGACAGCAATGAAAGGAATCTCAGTGACACCTCTCCAGGCTAGTTCAGATAACACTCACCTGATGTTTTATAATGGGCTTTTCAAATATCCCACATGAATTTCCTCAGAAGCTGTTAGAGATATATTCATTTGAATTTATAGTGGTCAATTTCCATTTTTAAAATATAAATGGTGAAAGCAGTTTTTAGGCTGCACTTACTTATCATGGGGTGAACTTTAACAAATATCCTTAAGCATTCACCCACTGTCTTTCATTTATCCAAAGACTGCATTGTCATTTTTGTTAAGTTTATAATTTTATCATCATTCTGATTGATCAGGACCCCTCTTGAGCTTATATTTTAGCTATCATGTTATACTTCAACAAATGCTTAATTGCACATCAAATTTGTTTTGAGAAAATCTTTTAAGCATCTAGTTGCATAATGATGCCCATGCCCGTATGTAAACTAAGAAATTGAAGGTAAGGTCATTTCTGTAGCCTGATGTGCAAACAATAGTTTACACTTGATTTTATTAGACAAAAAGTAGCTTTGTGTTTCATAATCTACAGTGATACTAAAGTGGTCTTCAGTTAACCACAAGGTCTTGTGTGGCAAAAAACAATAAACTTCACATTCGTATTTTAATGCATAGACAATGTTAAGTGTAAAACAGACTGAGTCAAGTGTCTACAAATGTATCTTAAGTCAGAGACTCAACTAGGAAGCACTTGTCATTAGATATTAAACCTTGAGTAGGAGTCAAGTTCACATTGGAAAAGTTGCTTGTGTGTAGTTACATGGACTTCTGTATTTCTCTGTTGATTGCTGATAGATATGGATATAGATATAAATATAGATACATATACATATAAAAGAGTTTTTTAAAATGTCCTATATTCTGGGTTTACATGAAGCATCTTACCACTTAAAAATCCTTAGCTCTGGTACAAACCAATGTTGGGTGATTGAGTGGGCATCAGTGCTCCCATGGTCCCTAACTCACAAGTACCTGAAATTTGCCAGCACAGAGACACATTTACACATGCATCACAGTTGTGGAGCTGGGAGCACACTTGCAGTGGGGAGCTTGGTGAGGGAAGTCAGGATTCATTTCTCAGAGGTCATGTGTCCCATTGGTTTTCCAACCAGGTACTCTCCAGATCTTGTATTACAGTCTTGTGCTGAAACTTTGAAATATAGCAAAAATAGATCCTGAATTGGAGCCTGATAAACAACTTGTTTTTCTAGGACCTTTTAATTACTACATTAATAATGAAAGAAATAATTTCTTCTAGTAGCATCAAGAAAAGGAAGCAGGTCTGGCCAGTGTTTCTCAGTGGTTAGAGAGTTGGCCTGCACACCTGAGGGTTACAGGTTTGATTCTGGTCAAGGGCACATGCCTGGGTTGTGGGCTCAATCCCCAGTAGTGCAGGAGGCAGCTGACTGATGATGTTACACTCTAACATCAGTGTTTCTCTCTCTCTCCCTCCCTCTCTCTCTAAAAGTCAATAAACTATTCTTTAAATAATTAATTAATTAATTTACAAATCTCTATATATAAAAGCCTAAGCAACCAAACGACCAGTCACTATGATGTGCACTAACCACCAGGGGGCAGACACTCAACACAGGAGCTG